TTTTTTTCCCCCAAAATAACTATACCCAGCTGACTCTGTTCCCATGTTTCTTTTTTCAAACCCATTCTTTGTTCTCATATTCCTCTTATAATCTCTTCCATTTCTCATGCGAATTGATCGAATCCCAAATCTCGCCGGGCCTTTCTTGCTAGGTGAGTTCTTCCCAAATATCTCAGCTATCTCTTCCCATCTCACAGGTATATGTATCGTCAAAGAAAGCATGGAAGCAAGAAGCAATGGGATAACCAGACGCTTCACAGCGTATATCTAATTCCATCTAATTTTCTTACAAATTCAAAGGTGAACAACATTTTTCTCAAAACTTTAGGCTTCATGCTTTGTTTGAATTTGAAACCGTAATGAAACACTTAAATTTAATTTTTTTTTTACTGTCTATTAGGTGAAACAAAAATGAAGAGCTTCTTGACTATGAAGAAGAGGAAGAGAAAGTCCCTGAATCCGTTACCACCAAAGCCAGTTTTCTTTGCATTAAGGTAATTATTTTTATTTTTTTTACGCTTTAAGGGTTTAGTTTGTGGATTTAACATTTACCATGTCTTATTTTCAATTGTGTGTGTGTGTGTGTTTTTTTTTAAAATTTATTTATTATTATTTTCGTTTCTATCGCTGGAATGCAGCACATGCAAGTAATAATTTTCAATAATCCTTTGCATATGGCAGGTCTGAAAGGCTTAAATTTGGCCACAACAGTTAGTTTATTAAGTTTATGATAATTTTCTGTGTTTAATCTTACCACCTTTCAAAGTTGCACACCATGTATTTGAAAATTTGTTCCAGTCATGAGATGTATCAGAAAATTATAGCCACATGTGATTGTGAAACTGGTAGTCAGATGTCCCTAAATGTGAATTCAATCAGTGAAATTTCTTGGTCTTTTTTTTACAGTCTCTTAGACTATTTAAGAAAGTTGAATGTATAACGTATTATGTTTCTTTGGTTATATATGGTGGCAGCAGGTGGAGTTTGGAGCCTATGGCAATGGTTGTAAAGTGCTTTGAAAATTTATGAAACTACCCAAATGAAGAGGAGGACCAATCCAGTTTGGAAAGTAATTCAAACAGTTTCTGTTTATTTCTTTTTCCCTTTTCTTCAGTTTGTTTTGAATTTTTTGGATGGGCTTTTAAGTGATGACTCTAAACATTCTTTTTTGTTGTTTTTATTATTAGATTTAGCTCTGGTTTTCCTCCCTTCTTCTGTAAAAAATAAAAAATAAAAACTGGTATTTTGTTTTGATTTTCTATAATTTTAGTTGGTTCCACTGTAGTTCAAGTTAAGGTCATTTGTGGACACTTTGCTCAGGATTACAAAGTTAATTACAGTTTTTATCAACTCAAATTCACATTCCTTTGTGAATTTATTTGGTGGTGGTGTTATGGTTATGTTGTCTTTTGTATTCATCATGTTCATACCTTCCTTTGCTCTATGATTGAATTAATTTAATTGATAAGTACTTGTTCAAGGGCTTGCAGGCTTTGGATTCATTTTCTTTCTTTTCAACAGAGTAATTTAGTTTGTTGTGGGCTTGGTATTTGAGGATGGGTGATCACTTTGTATTGCTGGTTGATCGTTTGCTTACTGAATCGACTTTGGAAGCTGCAATCGAGCACAGTAATCTGTCAAAGCAATTGACAGCGTTAGCAACTGATGACATCAAAATTGATTGCCCTTCACATGTCTCCGTTTTGAGAAATTGTTCGTCTTCAGGGAAGATAGTGGAATGCAGGATATGCCAGGATGAGGATGAAGATTCAAATATGGAGACACCTTGCTCTTGCTGTGGCAGCTTGAAGGTTAGCTGCATATGAATTGTTATGATTGCGTCTCTAATTAGAAACTTTCTAATTGTTTTAAAATTTTGACCTCGTCATTTTGTGAATTGACATATCATTTTGTCCTTTTAAAGTGTTTTGTAATTATTTGTACAAAATCATGTTATACTTCTCATGAATCTTTGTCTGATCGGATTTGATTAAACTGGTCTTGATGATACTCAATGGAACCTTTTGGCTCTATTTAATTATTTTGTGAATTTATTGTTTAAAATCATGCTATCATCACCTGTGTACCCTATAGCATTTGATTATAGATGTGATCCTCAAATGGAGTATGGATTTCACTTTCCCATTTGTTATTGAAGGTATGGCGATAAACGAGAAGAGTCTAGTAGAGTATTGAGTTGTTCAAGCTTTATCTGAAAACATAACGAGCTTCAAAAATATGTTCAAGTTTGGTTTGATTATTCTCAAATGAGCTTCAATCAAGCCCATCATAACCTGAGCTTGAATAGATTTGGTTTTTTGTACAATTTAATAGTGCACATATGTTTATCGAGTCGAGTATGAGCCAAACCCAAATATTAACAAGTTCAAAAATTTGTTCAAGCTTGACTTGTTTACATAATAGTCAACCTCGAACAAGCTTTTGATGAGTTGAACATAAGTTGAGCGCGAGTAGCTTGGTTCGTTTTACAGCTCTAGTTGAAGGTTACTATTGGAGGAAATAGATTTTTACTTCCCTTTTCATTCAATGCATTACCCAATAGTACCCTCAATTTCTCTGTTGAGCAATTCTGCTTGATTTTTGCAGTATGTTCATCGCAGATGCATACAAAGATGGTGTAACAAGAAAGGTGACAGTGTGTGTGAGATATGTCACCAGGTGGGTTAATTCCGTTTCAATTCTGCTTTTAATCTTATGAATGTGTTTTTTCTTTTTATAAAACTATTTTGAGTTTACATTGGGAACTATTTCTTTATACAATTGTTTCCTCTGTCAAATTGGAAATTTTTTTTAACAGAGTCTTTGTTCATTTTTTGCTAGTTTATTTATTGCCAAATGTGTGTTCATTGCAGCCATTCAAACCAGGCTGTACAGCACCTCCTCCTATGTTTCAACTTGGGAGTATTCCAATGAACTTTAGGTACTTTTGTGATTCAAGTTTCTTTTTTTGTTTTTAATATTTTATTTTCGTATGTTTTTGTTAGATATAGTCTGTGGTTTGAATGTTTTTATCAAAGGAAATTGGGAGATCTCCAGAAGGGACCCGAATAACCCTTGCTTTATAGCTATGGTGACAATTGAGCCTAATTTTGTTGATCCAGACTATGATGAGTATGCTGCTTTTGAATCAAGAAGTCTGTTTTGCTGTCATTCTGTTGCTGCAATTGTGATTAATCTCCCTCTCTCTCTCTCTCTGGGTGTGTGAGCGCTTGTGTATGTTCTGTTCATAGCAATATCTAAAGCAAGGAAATATGTCTCCTTGGCTACTTGATTTTGACGTTAGCATTTTGACAGCTTCTCTCATTTCTAGTCTGCAGTTCATGGTTCTTCTGATCTTACGGCATACTCTTCCCATATTAGTTAATGGAGCACAGGACAACACTTTCCCATTGTTCTTGGTAAGACAATACTTAGTTCATATCGACACACACACAAAGTAGAATATTGACAGTTATGAGACTCATTGTGATATAAAACTCACACTGTTGCATTCTATGGCAGTTGTTGCTTTTGCGAACTACTGGAATTATTGTGCCAATAAACATTATGGTGACGGCAGTGAATGCCATCAAATGTTGCCAACGCCAACGGGTGAGTACATAGTTTTTTTATATTACAGTAGTACCCTTTCTCACCTTCTCGCCAATTAGGTTCCGTTTAGTTGTCAAGAACTTTGTATGAGAAAGTCGTTCCCAAAAATTTTTGTATGGAACTCCATTTCATACTGTAACTGCTAACTGATGTTCTCATTAATTTAAAAAAAAATTAACCAAATTTCCCTTTTAATAAATATGGGGCTATAAAATATGAATTTCTTTTTATTCCAATAACAAGATAAGCTAATTTGTTATTTTTATGTGACAGATTAATTCTGTGGCTACAATTCCACAATTCACGCATCAATCATTGAACGATAATACTACAGCTGACAAAAGTGACTATCTTTGGTATTCACTAAGGCATTAAAAACCTTTTGTTATAAAAATTTGTGATCTGAATCCAATGGCTTTGATATGTTTGATATCTTAATAACAATTCCTAGATACCTTTGCAGCACTAACATTCAAAGTGGGTCCCAAACAGTTCTTCATGTGGAATCACTTGGCCATGCCCTTCATGCTTGGGAAAAAAAAAAAAAACATAATATCTATATCAAATTTGAGGTTATGATCCACAGGACAAAACCATCCTTCTTAAATTTCTTCACCTAAAAGGGGTTTTAACAGCTATAAGCACATGGCAGAGTAAGAAATATTATACTGAGAGCATGAGGGTATAAAAATCACCATGGATAATTATTTAGGCTAAACGATGAATAGTTTGGTTTGAATAAATTATTTTTTAATAACATACATATAACACAAAATCATATAAACAATATAATTATAACCACGGTACAGAACAGAACAGAGGGTCAATGGATCTATGACAAACAGAGGGTTACGAAGTGACTAATCAGAGGGCCAGAGGTTATTTAAGTCCCCCAAGGCATGGGACTATCAGAGGGTCATTAAAGTGACAATTCAGAGGGCCAATAATTATTTAAGTCCCCCAAGGCATAGGACCTCCGTGGTGGTACTTATTCAAAACAAATGTTTATAAATCATTGTCAAATATTTTCTAAAATTTAAACAAATATATCCATGGGTTTCAATTTAAGCAAATAGAGTTTAGAAAATAATCCACGTAATTGAAACATTAATATAACAATAAAACATAAAGTATATAAAATAATTTGTAGTAATTCAAAACATTTGTAAAATATATTATGGTGACTCAAGGTATAATATTACTCACCTTTTTATTGACCCTCAGCCTTTACTTCTCTATTATTGCTTACTAGTATGCTGTACTTGTTTTGTATCTATGTATCTCTTTCTTGTTCCTTTCTGAAGCTCAGTGACTCACTATTTATAAGGGTAATGTGCACAGTCATGTGGTAAGTTTTGCCACCACGTGTCACTCAAACCATTTGCCATCTGCTACTTCCCTAAATGACTTATCCAGGTGCTTATCCTAGCTAAATATGCATATTCACCACCCTATGTGCTAGGGTGGTGACAGGCCATGTATATCCTTTTTTTTTTAATTTTTTTTTTAACATTTCACTTTATCAACTATTCAATATACACTCCAAATATGTAAATATATATATATATATATTTTTTTGTGATATTTAATTAAACATTTAGGGTATCATATCAAAGATTACCCTTTAAAGAGAGGATGATCTTCTAGTTCACAAACCACAAGTTGAACACTCTCAAGAGCTAAAATTTGTATTCAAGAATCTCAATAAGAAGCCTCAAGTTTAGGCTTAGGAAGTGTATGTATAGTGTATGTATATTGCAAGAGATGAAGGAAGAGTGTTTGGCAAGTCTTTGGCTCTTGGCAACATTTTCCAACTCCAAACCCTTAGAGAGGGCTTGTATTTATAGAAAAACACCTTCTCACGTCGGAAGTATCTATAATGAGACAGCTAGTGCAAGGCATGGTCATGGGGATAGCTGGTTGTGCCAAAATATCTGTTGTCGCTAAACATAGCCAGTTGGCCAATATTTTGTACGGCCCCACTGCTCATTGAGTAGTCAGGCTAAAAAAAGGGTTTTGGTCCAAATAGGGTGGAAGGCTTGGGTTTAAAGCTCGAAACCGAATTCTTTTGCTGAAGATTCGAACAATTTACATAATATAACTTTCATCATCGAGTGTTCGGATTGATGCTCCCAAGTCTTAGGGGCGGTCAAAATAGGGTGTCTACAATCAGCTTTACGTAAAGGTTTGCAAATTGCAGAAGAAAACAGATGGGGAAAAATTTGGACAAAAGATGATAAATTTTTTTTAATTAAAACAATTCTTCAAGGCACACAAAGAAATTACTTCATCAACTTATGGAAACTCATCAACAATATTTGAAAGTGACGAAAAATAATCCAAGGTTGCAACATAACATTCATCCATAGAGAAGGAAACTTCGCAACAAACATGTTTTGCAACCATATCAAACGAAAACATGGCAACTTCCAATACAATGACCATATATTGTCGAGCAAATTAAAGACGTCGTTCATCATGAAAGACAATGATATAGTTACACACAATCTAGAGAATTGTATGGACACATACAACTCATTAAAATACAATTATTGTTAAAAATATATGTTCTATATACATAATATACTTATATGTTTTTAAATTACAAAATCAACATCCTTGCTTCTTCGTCTTCCATAAACAGCACATGCTACAATGAACCATAACTATAAAAATATGAACAACATCCTACTCATACTTGAAATAATTATTTTATTATTTAATGACCTATAATCAGATCTTCGTAACTAGCTATTTACAACGTAAGAATTTACAACGAGTTTTCAAGTAAACATTATGTAATGAATGAAAATGGGAAAATTTATAAATTCGATCCATGCAATAACATCATTTTGAATCCATTCTTGTTTGGATATTTTGGATCTAATCATGTATTTTTACTTATAGATAATATTGTTTTTATAACATAATGAATTTTTTATTTATTTTTTGTCTGTTTGTCCTTTTTTTTTTTTAATCATATTGGATTGCCCCAAATTTAGTAATTTAAGAAAATAGAGTTTTTTTAGGTGAATATTTACGTTATATCTATTTGAGTTTTCAAAATGTTAATTATGATTTATTGCAATAATAGTTACAACTTAATTTTTTTAATAGTTCAAAAACTCTTTGATTATAACTTCTATAAATTATATATAACATACACATTTCTAAAAATATACATACAATATTAGTCCACGCGCATGATGCGTGGTGCCTAACTGGTTATATTAAACAAAATAAGAAGAAACTTTTGTTAGAAACAAATAGATTTTGCCTAAAAAATTGATTGATTTCTTATGTGAATTTTTAATTGGACCACTTTGCAAAGCATTATGAACTTAAGCATAACAAATAATATTCAAATAATTATAGAAGTTTATAAGAAGTTTTTAAAATAAGGAAGAAAAAGCCAACAAATAATAGATGGAAATAAGGGAGAATACTAGAAAACAAGGAGCCAAATAAGAATTTTTTCTCTCTTCTCCTTTTTGATAGATGTTCTCTATTACAATGCATATAGGTTTGCTTTTATAAGCATATCAACCAATGCATGATAGCTTGCAATTGGTTCAATGCATGGGATTGTATAAATTACGTAGCCACCTTGGGAGATTTTCACCAACCACCATGAATTAAAAATACTTTTGCTTTTGATAGTGGTTATCCAAAAACTTTTTCTTTTGATAGTAGTTATCCACATGTTATACAACACTCCCCCTTGGATAACCATATATTAAGAATATGTCTTATTAAAACCTTATCAAGGAAAACCCAGTGGAAAAAAACCTTTGATGAAGGAAAAAGAGTACAATATTCTTATATACCATATAATGAAATGGATATGTTTAAATTGCCTCATTAAAACCTTGCTAAGAAAAACCCAGACGAAGGTAAAAGAGTACAATCTATAAATCTGCTTATATAGATGACTCCCCCTCAATGTTGTATAATATGTCTTTATGCTGACGCATCCCAATATTATGCACCAGCTTCTTGAATGTTGCAGTCAGTAGTGCTTTAGTAAATAGATCTGCCAGATTATCACTTGGGCATATATGTTGAACATCAATATCACCATTCTTCTGAAGCTCATGTGTGTAAAAGAATTTTGATGAAATGTGTTTAGTCTTGTCACTTTTGATATAACATCCTTTGATCTGTGTGATACATGCAGTATTATCCTCATATAATATGGTTGAACTATCTTTGGTTAAAGATAATCCACATCTTTCTTGAATATGATGGATCATTGATCCAAGCCAAATATATTATCAACTTGCTTTATGAATTGCAAGTGTCTCTAAGTGATTTGAAGAAGTAGCAGTCAATATTTGTTTTATTGATCGCCAAGATATAGCAGTATTTCCATAGATAAAAATGTATCTTGTTTGTGATCTGGCTTTATGTGGATCAAAGAGATATACAACATCTGCATATCCAATTAGTTACGGCTATGATTCATTTGAATAAAATAAACCCATATCAGTTGTTCCATGACGATATTGTAATATTTGTTTCACTCCATTCCAATTCCTTTGGGTTGGTGCAGAACTATATTTTGCTAATAAATTGATAGCGAATGCAATATCAGGCCTGGTACAATTTGCAAGATACAAGAAAACACCAAGGCCATGTTTGATTCACAACACTAATAGTGAGGTATTAATAATCCTATTAAATTAGTGTGGTATTAGTTATCCCACCCCTACCCCAGTTGTTCCATGAAGATATTGTAATATTTGTTTCACTCCATTCCAATTCCTTTGGGTTGGTGCAGAACTATATCTTGCTAATAAATTGATAGCGAATGCAATATCAGGCCTGGTACAACTTGCAAGATACAAGAAAACACCAATTGTACTAAGATATGGGACTTCAATACCAAGGAGTTCATTATTTTCTTGAGGTCGAAAAAGATCCTTTTTTATATCAAGTGATCGAACAACCATAGGAGTACTCAAAAGAAGAGCTTTATCTATATAAAAGCTCTTTAAGACCTTTTGTGTATATGTTCATTAATGTGCAAGAATCCCATTTGACCGGTGTTCGATTTGTAGGCCAAGACAAAAAAAAATAAAAAATAAAAATTACCATGATCTTTCATTCACTACTAGAAAAAGGGGCATTGGACGCGGAACAATTTGTGACGGTTTAAATGCCGTCGCAAAAAGCAAACTTTTGCGACGGCAGTTAATGACATCGCAAGATTATTTTTTTTGTGACGAAAAACTAAGCCATTGAAAAAAAGTAAGGTTATATGCGACGGTACATTAAACGTTACAAAATTTTCCTGTCCTTATTTTTATTTTTATTTTTTGCGGCGCTCTTTTGGCAATCTGTCGCAAAAGTTTATTTTTTTGCCCATTCATTCGCGATGAGCCTTACATCGTCGCAAATGGTAATTCCTTAATTCGCGCCAAACCCCCCTCCCACTCTCCCTCTTTCCCCATTTTCCCAAACTCTCTGTAATCTCTTGGGATAAAAAAAATAAATAAATAAAAAAATAAAAAAAACCTTCAATATTCTACCCTAATCTCACTACTCTCTCCCTCCCTCTCACCCAGTCGTCACTCTATCTGTCTTTGGCCGCCATTGAAGTTTAAGCTTTGAGCTTCAACCGAGTAAGATCAGTTGGTTTTTGGCATTATCGACCTGAAATAGAGATAGATCAGTTGATTTTCCGCGTCAACCGCTGCATAGAAAACGAAGAGAAAGGAAGGGACGAGAGACTCAGCGAAGAATAACACTTCCTCCCTTAAATCAGGTTTGGAGATTCAAACTAGGGTTTTAATTCGGGGATCTCAGAGGAAAAAAATCATTGGGGATTTCAATTGGAAAGGTAGGGTTTTGATTAAGAACTGACAAAATTAGTTTTTTATGTTGTGGAATTGGGTTTTTTTTTTTCTTGCTTCAATGTGAGTTGGTAAAAGTTGAAATCTTTGAATCTTGTGAAATTGGTTTCGTTTTTGTTCCTCATTTTTAATTTTTCTTTCTGGTTCTAGGAAACATGGTTTTGGATTTGTTCATTTTTGCTAGTTTTTTTTGTTTATTATTTGATTTTTTATTGTTCTTTCTTTTGATTTTTCCTCCCATTTTTGGTTCTTTCTTGTTTAACTTTTGAAGGAAAAATGTTTTGGTTTTGTTCATTTTTGTTACTAGTTTTTTTTTTTTTCAATTATTATTTGATTTTCTGATTGCTTTCTTTTGAATTTTTCCCTTTTTTTTGTTCGTTCTTGTTTTTTCGTTTTTGTTTTTGGTTTTTATTTTTTATTTTTTTCCCCTCCCGAGAAGTAAATTAGCAAGTGTTAAGTGGAAGTTTGGTTTGATTTTGTGTTCTCTTTTGATCCCTTCTTTCCTTTTGTCCTTCATCATATCTTCTCTCTAAAATCCTAAATTGCTTTCATTTTTTTTTTTGGCTGGTTTTTTTATTTTATTTATATAAACCTGAGATTTATGCAGAAGCTTATGAGGCATCAGATGTGTATCCTTTTGTAGATTTAATTTGTTATTTTTTCCTAAGAGAAAGTGTAGAGTTGGGTTCAATACTATGTGTATCTCTGTTTCTTTTTTTATTTTCTGTTATTTTCTTTCATAAAATGGATAGTTTTGGGGGGAATTAACAGTTCAGTGTATAGTTGTAAAAACAATTTCAAATTAGTGATAAACTTTACAAATTTTACTAATTGAAATGACTTTTCCATGAGTTAGTAATTTCTTCAGGGAAAAAACACTGATTTATTAATTCCCCTATTTTTTTATTTTTTATTTATTTATTGTTATCTCTCAACTCCTCTCTCTAATACTTATGAAGGCGTCTTCAATCATGGAGATAGAGTGTGTGTTGCAGTTTCCACAATACCATGTGGATCATTGCCCCTAAAAGAGCCTACGTTTAGGAGGGGATGTATCACTTCAGATCCCTAAGATATCAAATGCGTTTTTTAAATTCAAATGTCTCCAGTGTTTTTAGAATTCTATGCTTGTGTTGTTTGATCTGCAAGTAGAACCGATAAAAATTAAAGTAAAAATAAAAAAGAGAGAATTTTTCTATAAATCTTAGTTCTAGACGAATTTTAAACATAATCTGGTCTATATTGCATCTCTAGAGGAAATTTTACAACTTTTAAAAATATGGGCATAATTTCTTCTCTCATGATATCATTCTTTTTATTTTTTATTTTTAATATTCTAATGTTCTTAATTTTGGATATTTAGAATATAGCTTAGTTGCATCAAGCCCTTTTTTCTTTGTCAAACCTTCAAAAAAAAAAAAAAAACCTCTTTAGATTTTTAATATATTTTGACCCACATAATCTGATTTGCTTTTGGAATTGAATCAACTGCGTTATTGGTAACCACTGGAAATAAGAACCTCAAAATAAAATTGGTGGGTATTGAATTAACTCAAAATTAAACATGATCACAATTGCCGTAATAGTTTAAGTAGAGACTTTGGGCAAATTATAACCACTTTTCTTGTATACTCTTTTGTTATGAACCTACTTAAAGTTCAAATTCTTGGTAACTGGTGAATTAGGTGTTTGAATAAATTGGTATTGTTCATCAAATGTTCTATGGGTCTTTTGATTTCTTTGTTTTCAGAGGCTCTTTGTTTTGATTCACATTTGTCTCTGATTTTCCCGACAATGAAGAAACTCTAATGCCTATTTTGATATTTTAACTTATTGCAGCCTTGAGAATGTCTAATTGGGTTTAGCAGTGAAGATGACATTATTTCTTCCAAGAGCTCTTGTTCGAAATACTTGAGCTTGCCACCATTCACATCAGTAGGAAGCTTCTTGCTTAATTTTATGATAATATAATTTTGGAGAAGTGGTAATAGAGAAGTTATGCCTTACATTTAGACATCTCTGAGTATTTATGAATAATCTGGAAACTGTTTAATGTATTAATAAAATCAATATGTCATTTTTATTTAATCTTTACCTCTTTTTTTTTTTTTTTTTTTTTTTTTTTTTTTTTTTTTTTTTTTTTTTTTTCTAGTTTGTAGATATGACAATTTTTATGGATTGTTCTGAAATTTTCTTCTTTTATACTTAAATGGACGCTAAATGTATATTTGTTCCAACTTCAATTCGTTAATCATAAGTGTATTTTAAGTTGATCTAAAATAGCTTTGTTAAAATAGCTATTGCTACATGTGTTTGATTGACTTTATTGAATGTGCAGGGTGATCTTGTATACTTTAAAGAGACAATTATTTATGTTAATTGTTTTACCAGCAATCAAGATCTTATGAGGAAAACTATTGATCAAATGAGATGTTTAATATAGTTCACAATCCGAATTCTAAATGCTTGTCTGTGTTGCCATCATATCTACAAATCTTATAATTGTGTGGGACTTGCATCACTACTGCTACATTTATTAAACAGAACAAAATACTTGAATTTTTTTCCTTTTTTTTTCTCTGGTCTCATTTCTGATTTTTTGTGCTGAGAATATTTCTTATACATAGTTTTTGGCTAAAATCACCCATATAGTGTACATATGAGAACACTAGACCACTGAGGCATCCAGATATATCTGCATATACAAATAGATTAAGTACCTAATTCAATTTCAGAATGATCAATCTAAAGCCACCAAAATGATCATGCGTCCTTGGCATCATCGTTGCCGCCTATGATTGGTCAGGTTGTTTATTTCGTGATGTCACTGCCTCTCTAGTTGCCAATCTCAGTACTTTTCTCATACTTTTCCTCCTTAATTTCATAACCGGATTATTGATTTTATTTCATTTCATTTATGGGTATAGAATTCATGAGTCTGTTGATAGGATTACAGGAAGCAAATTTCTTAGGTAAAATGGGTACCTCTACTACAGAGTTTTTGTGTTAAAACTCAATTATCCTTGAGTCCTTTTCTTAGGCGTGCTTGTTTTTTACTTTTTTTGGGGGGTTCATTCTCTATCTTCTCTTCTTTTGAGGAGGTGCCTCTTCTCTAATATGCTTTTTATATATCTTGGCAATTTTGTTTCCTATAAAATATTAACTAACTGAGCTGTGAGGTAGCCCAAAAAACAAATGTACGGTTTAGAAGTAAAAATATTGCCTCTTCTTCCCTTAGTAATATAAGTTGACAAAACTGAAACTACTTAAAATGGCCTCATTTCAACTTTTTGGTGTCAGTAGGCTACAATAATACCTTCAAGGATGACAAAAATGAAAATCTCACTGCTTCATGCATAGCAAAAATCCTTTTTTGAGAATTATTTGGCAATATCAAAATGTATCTTCTGATTGAGAACATCTTGAAATAAGCTGGTGAAAATCTAAAAGTAGATATTGATAGTACAAAGAGCAATACGAGGAAAAAGTAAAAGAAATGTGTACTTTCATTTTGAAACAACTTGGTATTATGGCATACCTTTGGGAACTACAGGCAATATTTGCTCCTGAATATGTAATATTTGTGAAGCAACCATCACATGGCTTAATCCTAGCCTATTATGGCTTATCTTTTGGCAACATAAGAGGCAATTACACAACAACTCTGAAACCTATGTAATTCCCCTATTTAGTCCACTAAATCTGAAAGTAATGATTCCTTGACCATCAACTGAAGCCTTTTGTCTAGAGTTTTTGATTGTATTATAATATGGATGTGAGACTGATTTGGGTGTTACTAAGCTTGGTAAGAATCATGAGATAAATGACATAGTTGAGGACATAATTGGGAAAGTATGTGCAGATGTGAGAAAGCTTATGCTTGTTTTGTTACGTTTTTGGTCCAATGAGTGGTAAATTCTTGTGCCACTCTCTCTCAACAAAGTCCCCTGAGTAGTAGTTATCATGGGCATGGCTGTAGTGGACCATAAATGTTTTTAGAGACATATGCATGGGATTAGTGTTTGGTACAACATGATGCATAATAAATTTGCAAATATGGTAGATATGTCAGTTGGTTGGGCTTAATTAAAAAATCTATCCTTCGGTGTCAAATCATTATTTGTTTGCTTGAGGGGTACACAATATTGATCCTATTTGGTGTAGCATGAGCAAATCATTAACTTGAAGTTTTCTCCTTTTCATTTCCCTTAATTTTGCCCCATACCACAAGGAGCAGACTCAATGTCAACTACCTTCTATGTGGTAATCTTTTAAAGCCAGCTTGTGAAGAATCATGGTTGACCCAAATGATTCAACTGTGAAGACAAGCCACAGTACCACCTGGCATGTGTTGAACTAATTAGAACGAGTGAGGAATTGGATCATTTCTAGAACAATTTATGTGTTTTAGTGTCAAATCTTTGAAATAACTTTCTTTTATCAAGCTTTATTTTAGCACCTTGCAATATAATACTGAGGTAGCGTCTTCTACTTGTAGATTTGCGGCAGAGGATTTTCATGGCTTTCAGGAGCAAGTGATGAGTACATCTTCTAGAAGCCATAAAATGGTGGTTCGTGTACAACGCATTGAAGCTGCACTTGCTCTACTTGAGAAGGTCATACTGGCCCAAAAAAGCCACTTACATTTTGCTTACACAGCTGGTATGGCTCATGCACCTGTTTTTAATCTTTTCAATACTTATATCTATTTCTATATAGACATAAGTATCTAAATCATTTGTAAGCTTGTTTTCCGAAGACAATATTTTCGATTTCATTTCATTTTTTTCCAATAACCACACTTGTTCCTTGAAAGGTGATCATTCAGCGCGTACATTATGTTTTTGTGATTTAAGTTTGTTGGGATATGACTATTGACAGCTTAGCAAATGTAGTACAAGTGCATTTAATAAGAAAGTGCCATCTGCAACACTGTAGACTGGTCCAATTTTTAAGCCTAACACTTAGTTGTGGATTTATTTATGCTTAACTTGATTTTGTAGGCAACTATTGATCCTCAATGTTAGGTTTTCTTTTTACTACATTAATTTTGCTAGTTTTTCATGTGCTTCATGGAATGCAGTTGCTTTGCAGGTTATAATTGGCATTCTCATCTCCAAAATGAGCAAAATCACTTTATTTATGGTGACTTGTCAAACTTTATTATGGATTCCTATGAAGAATGTAGTGATCCACCACGTCTTCAGATGCAACCCTTTTGAGTACGCGATGATATCTTCGCATATCGATATTGGAGCTTACTGCTGATATTAAAACAAGCTATAATTTATATGTTTTTTTATTTGTATTGTCAATACTTTTGTTTTGCTTTAGATACAAATATAAGTTCTTGAATATAAAAATTATTAGTATTGTTGGAAGATATTTTATATATTTTTGTAAAGAATATTTGGTTGACAATTGTTACAAGGTACATATATACGTATGATTTTGTGAATGTGAATGTGGATGCGGATGTGTGTGGATGTGAATGTATTTTATTTTAGAAAATATTAATAATTTATACAAGGAATTAATAAATAAAATATATATTGGTTTTATGAAAATAATTGTATTGCAGCAATAATAAACCGTCGCTAATGTAATCATCATTTCATTACATTTTATTAGCGACGGGTTAACCTGTCGCGTATACATATTAGTTCAAATCTTTAGCGACGGTTTAAATTGTCGCAAATATGGTATTAGTTTAATTTTACTTTTTTGCGACGACCATCGCTAATAATACTTTTCATGACGGTTTAAACTGTCGCAAATATGATATTACTTTAATTCTACTCTTTTTGCGATATTTTAGACCGTCATTAATAATACTTTTCGCGACATCAAACACCGTTGCTAAAAATGTTTTGGCGACAGCAACCACTAAAAGTGAAGGTTTTTTTCCTTTTTTGTGTCAAGTTAAATTGTCGCAAAAACCATTGATTAACCGTCGCTACAAGAAAGCGACGGTTTGTAACCGTCGCAAATGCTTTTTGTCACGCCCCCTTCGCCACCCCCTATTTCCAGTCGCTACCCCATCACAAAAAGTTTTTTGCGACGATATGCAAACCTTTTGCGACGTTTACGACAGTCGCAAAAGTTTCGATTTTTATTAGTGATTTCAAATTCATTCTTTAAATATTTCACAATTTTTGTAAGCTCTTTTGGAGTTCCTATAAGATTCAAATCATCAATACATACTACAACAATTGCAAATTTGAATTCTGATTTCTTAATAAAAATGCATGGGCAAATTGCCACATGTGTCTAGATTGTTTCATCCCGTATAGAGATCTTTATAACTTGATTGAATAAACACTTATGGGTTTTAAATTAGATGCTTCTGGCATTTTAAATCCTTTAAGGACTTTCATATATATATATATATATATATTACTATCTAGTGATCCATATAAATATGCCATAACTATATCCATTAGACGCATGTCTAAATTTCTGTGATTACCAAGCTAATCAAGAATCTGAATGTAATTGCATCAATTACGGGTGAATATGTTTCCTCATAATCAATACCAAGTCTCTGCAAGAAACCTTACGCAACAAGTCGTGCTTTATATCTTACAATTTTATTTTGCTCATTGCGTTTTCGAACAAACACCCATTTATATCCCACAAGTTGTATCCTTTCAGGGGTTTGGACTACAGATCCAAATACTTAACGTTTTATAAGCGAGTTTAACTCTGCTTGTATTGATTATTTCCATATTGGCCAATCATTTCTCTGTTGATATTCCTCGATCGTTTGTGGTTCATTGTCATCATCACTTTTGATAATGCTTTTTGCATTACTTCTGGTAATGTCAAAAACAACTTCAAACAAAAATATGTTGTCGACAATAGTTTTATTTATATCCCAAATATCTCATGTACTTATATAATGTATTGAGATTTCATTATTTTAAGGTACCTTTTCCACGTTAGGGAATAACTCTTCAAGAGGTTCCTCTTCTGGAGGTTTATAAGTAGGAGATTTTGATAGACTTGCTATAGCCTATTTTGTGGTTCTAGCCTCTTCATGAGTGCTTTCATTTATGGGTATGATCTATTTAGGAGATCTAGTTATGGTCTGTTCTAGAGTATAAACTTTTAGTTCTTGAGCTTTCCTTTTTCAAGGAATTTTGTCTTTTGCACCGACGGGTCTTCCACGTTTCTGGTGTGTCTTAGACTTATTTGTTGCTATGCCCACTGATTGTTCGACAGGGACATCATTTCTTGCAAGGGTATTAGCTACTGGTATGTAAGATTTTGTCATAATTTTTGTGTCGGTGAATGCATGTGGTAACTAATTTGCAATACTTTGCAAATGAATGGTCCTTTGAACTTCTAGCTCACATTGATTAGTACGAGAATCAAGATGAGATAACGTTGAAGTATTCCAAGTGATTTCTTATCAAGCTTCAGGCTGTGACTTGTCTCCGCCTAATGATAGGAAAATTGTTTCATTAAAATGACAATCCATAAATTGTGTCTTAAACACATCACCAGTCAAAGGTTCTAGCTATCTAATGATTGATGGAGAATCAAAACTAATATACACTCCAAGTCTACATTGTGGACCCATCTTAGTGCATTGCGGGGGTGCAATAGGGACATATACAGCACAACCAAATACTGAATGGCAGGTACTAGTTGTAATGGCAGGTACTCATGATATGCAGTTGGTCTGACACGAATTAAAGATGTCGCATGCAATATAGCATGACCCCATGCTGAACTAGGTAATTTGTTTTTCATAAGCAAAGGCCGAGCAATCAACCGAAGTCCCTTAATAAAAGATTCAGCTAAACCATTTTGATTATGAGTGTGTGCAACAAGATGCTCAATATCAATGCCAACGGACATGAAATAATAATCAAATGCTTGAGATGTAAATTCACTAGTGTTATCTAGACGAATTATCTTGATATGATGGTTTGGAAAATATGCTCGTAATCTATTTGTTTTAACAAGGAGTCTAGCAAATGCAACATTACATGTAGAGAGTAAACAAATATGTGACCATCTAGTATATACATCTATTAAAACCATAAAATAACGAAAAGGTCCACAGGAAGGATGTATGGATCCACATATATCCCTTTGAATTATTTACAAAAAGGATGGAGATTCAACAATGACTTTTGTAGGTGATGGTCTAGTAATTAATTTCCTTGTGAAGAGGCAGAACATGAGTAATCACTTAGTAAAAGAATCTATTGGTTCTTTAATGGATGTCAATGTGAATTTTTAATTATTCGACACATCATGATGGTTCCTAAATGCCCAAGTCGGTCATGCCATAACTTAAACACTTTTGGGTCAGAGCACTTCTGGTGCATGACAATATGTGACTAATCATTTTTATTGTCATACAATACAATCCAGAGGAAAATGCAGGAATTTTTTCTAATACCAGCTTCTGGCCAGAATTTGTTGAAATGATAAATAAATACTCTTCCTAACATTTATTTATAGTTTCAATATGATAACCATTACGATATATATCTTTGAACGGCTCGTTTTCGCATTTTTTCTCACATTTTTTTTATCTAATTCTCTAATTGTGCATCCTATCAACATGCCGCTTGCTCTCACAAGTTTTTTTAATCTAGGGTGAGGTGCCCTTGATGGTCTCCGGACAATGTGGTGGTTGTTTTGGATTTTTTCCCACATAAATTTGAAAGAAATTAAAGAGACTTACCCAATACAAGGTGATGGAACAAACTAAAACAAACAAAGAGGGAACAAACAAAGCAATCTATTCACATTAATGTAATTTGGGAGGGGAAAGACTGAGTACACACCTAACATTATTTGATGTTTTGTCTTATAAAAGAAACCTAATAAGAAGAAAAAAAAATCTAGATTTTAGTGTTCTTGGTTGTTCAAAACAAAAAATAAAAAAATTAGTATTCTCAAGGGAAAGTTTCCCATTCTAAAACAAAAGTACCAAAATGTGGATTCCTAGTAGACTTCTATTTTATTTGTTTAGCTTCAAGACATCTATTGAATAACACCAAAACTCTACATGACAACAATAAAAAAATAAAAAATAAAAACTCAAATATCAAGATGCCATTTTACTCTAGAATTCATGGTACCATCATCTCAGAATTTAGGGACAAAAGTAATAGGATAATTAGGAGAAAAAATCCATATAAGACAAAATAAATTTTCTTAATAGGCACATGTTGAACTTACAATCAAAACATGTCAAAAACAGTGGAAAATGTTGACACACATTACTTTTGTTTACCCAGGACCAATAAAATAGAATATCCTTGGGCCATCTTTATAACAAGTCTAGACAGAGAGGCAAAAATAGGGGGAAAATGATGATTTCCCAAAGGAGAAAAACATAATATACACAAAGCATGAATGAATTGTCAAGAAGAGAGTTCAATGGGGTACCTTGAAGCATGACACTTGAAGTCTGAAGATATGGCTTCAACCAATGAAACCAAAAAAGAAAATAGTAAGTAAAAATTATAGTAAGATACGGACCAGTTTAAGCATTAGCAAACTATGAAATTAGAGAGAAACTTCAATATCAGGATCAAATACATTAGATTCAAAATATGAAAACACCTCATGTAAAATTTTGGCAACAAATCCACAGATTGGAGTCAAAATATTTTCCACATCAAATATAAGGGAAAGATATTCTATAACGCCCCGAAATAAACACAACATACCCATCTCTTAACAACCAATAAATAGAAACACAAATGAATTGGTAAGCTTTCATTAATCAGAGTTTGATATACAAAAGGTGACATGCGATATACATTCATAAATAGTACATCCTAAATCTACAGCATGTGTTACAAGATTGAAAAAAGAAATGAAAGCTAAATAGATAATCATATGCCCTAAAGGCTTACGTCTTTCCAAGTCAATGTTTGGGTACATCAAAAGTGAGTCTTAAACTCAATACAAATAAAGCCCTAAGCTTGCACAAAATTAAATACAAAATAATGACGATGAGCCTTCAACTCCACAGTCCTCCTAAGCTAAGTCCTTGGTAGAGGCATATCACCAGTACTTGAAATGTTTTTCCCACATAGGGTGAGTCAAAGCCCAGTAGAAATACTACAACACAATGTATAAATCTTAACAAAGCCATAAGGTTTTATGCATATGCAATGCCAGTACCAAAACATTTATATCCTTTTCAAAAGCCATGCTATGCTAGTTTAAATCTCAATTCTCAAAAACAATGCCCTTTACAATAGAAAGAAGGGGGAAATCTCAAATTGATACAACCTTTCACGGATATTTTGTCTGCGGGAAAACGTCAAACGGCACCCATGTAAACATAGCCTATACAAGCGCCACTATTGCCATTTTACGAATATTTTGTCTGGGAGAATTGGTACCTATGTATACGCACACTTTTCGAGACTTTCACCCTGGACACACAGGCCAACTTAATTTGGTGATACACACCTCTCT